ATGTAGATGCTCATTATAGTGCTAAAACTGTCATATGTTTTTTTAAAATTTCTAACATGAAAGTAAGACTTGAATCATAAATAGAAACTTGTGATTAAAAGAGAAGGATGTAATAGAAGCTCACCTTTTGCAATGAGTTCTGGGTACTTTTTTTAGGTAGCCAAATTCTCCATCATAAGTTTTATTTATTTATTTATTTATTTATTTATTTATTTATTTATTTATTTAGGTACCGGGGATTGAACTCAGGACCTTGCGCTTGGCAGGCAGGCACTTATGCCACTGAACTATATCCCTGGCCCTCCATCATCAAATAATACAATGAGATTTAGCAATATTTAAGTGGGTTTTAAAGGTTTTCATTTATATGAAATAATCAAGGGATTATACAAAAAATTTTAAAAAATTATTCTTTACTTTAATCTTCACATCTCCAAGGACTTTTATATACGATACTATTGATGAGCTCTTTCCAGCTCTCTCCCTCTAATACTCACTTCAAACTATCTGCTGATGGGGAGGGATTTCCAATTCAACTTTTTTCTCTGTTTCTCGCCCTTTGATGTCCTCTTTCCCTCTTTAACCTGCTTAAAATTCATGGTCTCTTCTTCCAACTTTGTTGCCCCTCATTTGCTTTCCTCTCTTGGAAAAACCACAGCCCTGGTTAATAGAAACTCTTCGTGTACATCCATGGTAAGACTGAACATAACTGGAAATAAAGCACAGACACATTGACTAATCTCACTGTATTAGCCACCTCTCCGTTGCTAGTGCAAAATTCTTGACATTCACAGTTTAAAAGAGAAAAGTTTCATTTTGGTTCCTGGTTTCAAAAGGTTCAGTCCATGGCTAGCCGGCTACAAAGCAGAAATGGGATGGTGGAAGAGATGCAGTAGGAAAGTGCTCATCTCAAGGTAGCCAGGAACCAGAGGACTGTAAAGACACTGAGAAGGGAAGAGGCCAGGGACAACGTCCCACCCCCACGGCCCACCCAGATAAACCCAGAAGAGTCTCTCAAGCCAGTCAAATCAATAATCAAGCTGCACTATCACACTCACTTTATGACCATGAGAGCAACACAATCTGACAGCCATAAGGTACTGTTTAATTCTCCGTTTGTTCTAGATAATTATTTCTTCTTCCCATATTTGAAACACTACTTCTTCCATCCCTAAAACTATTACTGATTTTGCTTCTTACTCCACTGAGGATCAAAACAACCAGCAGAGAACTCCCACGGTCCCCACAACCACACCCACCCAGCATCTGCAAGCAGGAAAACAGATCACCCATGTGCCTAGCTACATAACCATTCCTCTCACTTGTACAGCTAATCCCACCCATCTTGCCTTGCAGCTATTCTCTCTTCGCACCTACATCACAAAATTTTCACTGTACGGGGACATGCTGTGTGCATTAGAAACATTCTGATACTTCTCCTTTCTAGAAAGATAGGAGCTCTTCCGTCCACTGCTCTTTTCAGCTACTGACTCTGAACACCACTGCCTTAGTCATCCTTGTGGTAAATTTTTTGTTAAAGAAAAACCCTCTGCATCCAAATCCTTTCCTTTGTTCTCCCCACTACTTATCTGAAATGCGTTTGTCACAATCACCAACGGCATCCACACTGAGAGGTCCAAAGGTCAGTTCTCATCTTATTCAACTAGGCATCAGCACAGAAAGCGTCATCATGCACTCCTTTGCCTTCTCCACTTTACATTCCTCGCTTCCATGATGGCACCGCACTTAGCTGTCTTCCCTCCATCCTGGCTGGTTCCTCTCTTCGCCACAGCCCTCTCCTCTTTGTGCATAAACTCTTTGTGCTGTAGCACCTCAGAGATAGTACTGGTTGCCTCCTTGTGATCCCACACAGCTTTGGAAACCATCCATATGCCAAAGATAGATTAAGTTATATTTCTAGTTCCACATCTCTCCTCAACTCCAGATGAGTGTATTTCACCTGCAGGTACCACAGGTCTCTCTAGTAGCAGGTCCACAGCTGAATTTCATAATTTTCCACCCAAAAGTTGTTTCTCTCGCATCATGCTATCTCAGTTGATAAAAATTACACTTGTAGCTGCTCAGGCTAAAGAGTTTTGGAGTCAGCGTGGAGCCTCTTTCTCAACGCCAGGCATCCAATCTCACCAAATCACATCCAGTCTGCCTGCAATGACTTCGCACCCTATCCATCATCACCACTTTTGCTGCACACGTTTCTCACCTGGGTTGGTGCGGTGCCCCCTTCTCCCTGCATCAAACCCAGGTCTCCTGCTGTCTATTCTCAACACAGCAGCCAGAGTGTTGCCTGTCCCACTGAAGTCAGATCAGATAAATTCTTGGCTCCAAACTACAGTAGACCCCTTTTCTCTCAGAGAAAAAGCCACTCGTTCTATATGATCTGACTCTTTTCCAACTATTCTCCTCGCCTTGCCCATTTTTCCGCTGTCGTTGTGTCCCCATTGTTCCTTAAAATAAGCAGCCACCTTCTTGTTTTGAGGCTTTTACACCTAGCTCTTCCTACTGTGACGCTCTGCTCCTAAAAGGGAGCTTCTCTAAGTATGCTTACTAAACCAGAAGCATCAATGTCACCTGAGAGCTTAGTAGAACTGAAAATTCTGAAGCCCTACCCAGTCCTGCTTTGGCAGGGCTGCAAAGATAGCATCCAGCAATGGGTGGGCTTGATTTGATTTTTGTGGTGCTAGCAATTAAACCCAGGGCCTTACACATGCTAGGCAACTGTTCAACTACTAAGCCACATCCAAGACCAAGCAAATCAGGTTTTAAGAAGCCATATAGGCATCACTGTTGCATGTTAGAGCTGAGAAGCTCTGCTCTAGATACTTACATAACAACTTGCTCACTTCCTTCGGCTCTTCCTCTGATGTCACTTGCCAGGTGAGGCCTGTAGCAACCACCCTGTTCATACTGCACCCTCACTCCTCTCCCAAGCATGCCACCCATTCCTGCACCCTGCTTTCCTTTTTCCAGGTTTCACCACCCTTAGAGTACTATAGAGCTTACTTTTGTATCATGTTATTGTCTCACTGGATTAAACATTCTATGAAAGCAGTCATTCTTATGTTGCATTCAGTGATAATACACAGATACTTAATGACTATCTACAGAATTGAGACTGGGTAAGTTAAGCTTGACTAGTATGACCAATGGGGACAACCACACAAGTCAAACAAGCCCAAGCAGCAGGCAGAGAGGCTTCTGAGAGTTGGGGCTTATAAGCCCAGGTACATAATTAACAGGTGTCACTTCTCCCTGAAGGGGCATTTCAGTGAAATGTATCTGTATACCAACGCTGGAGGTGGAGACACCTTAGGGGATGCAGGAATTTGCTTTCAGTAGAGGATGCAGGAGCGTGCCTCAGGCTGCTGCCCTTGTGGAAGGGGAGAAAGTGGCACCATAATGGTTCCACCTCTGCCTAGGAAACAGCTAGAGCTCCTGGGCAGAACTCAAGGCTGGAGCAGCTGGTGCTTCCCAGATCCACCTGGGTTTGCTGCAGATGAGATACATGTGGTGGCCTTTGCCTTTCTACATGAGCTTGAAAAGTGTCCCAAAGAACAGCAGGTAATTAGGAAGGGAAAAGGATACTGTGTTAAGTGCTAGTGTGTAATATTCACCATACACGGCCCAAAGCTAACGTCTGCATCTTCTTACTATCAAAATAAGGCAGCACTACAAGTATATGTGCAACAGAACACAGAAACCTCTGCACTGACATTTGTGCTACAGATTAGTGAAACTATATTCTTTAGGACACTGAAGATGTACAATTTGAATGATCCCTTATTCCTATGAATAATGCCAAGAATAACAGTAAACAAACCAGATCAATTTGCTGTCATTTTTGGAACTTCAACACAATGTGTTACCTTGTGAACATTTCATGTTGGTGCTTTTATTGCATTGAAAATGATCTAGTAGTTGTCTCTTAAATTGACTAAGTAAAACCACATCAATGAAGGATGGGAAGAAAAAACCTCTTGAATTTCTAGCATATAAATGATGGTTACATTGATATCATTCTATATTTCTGGCTCTGAACAATCTACTAGCTTTATTACAGTAGAATAATAAAAACCACTAAGAGAACTAGCAAGGGATTGTTGCTCCAGCCTTGCACAGTGCCTTGGGATCTTGATGCTTACTTGTGTTTGCTTGGAGTAAGTACCTAGGAGAAAATTAAGTTCTAGGCTGAGGCTATGATTTGAAATCCCAGAAAGAGCTTCTAAGAATAGTTGGGCTTTTTGCAACAGTAGATTTTCTGATGAAGTACACTACTCTGTAATGAACAAGATCTGGCATTGTTTCAGATGCTAAAATTTGACCAGTGTTAGGAGCACGATGATCACTTTGGGTGTGAGTCTTTTAGTAAAAGAAACATGAAATCAGCTGTACTTTGGCAGGATGTACCCCAAACCATCATAAAAGCTGACATGTTGGCCCACAGACATAATCCCTACCACGCCACAACTGTGCAAGTTCGCACTGACATCACTGACAAAGCTGGCAAGGAGAGAGGGACGTACCCCAAAAGCAGTCACGCTGGATTCTGCTTCACTGGACTCATCTGGAAAACAAACCAACTTGTCTGTCCTTCCAGTCCCTGCACCCAAATACTATGGACTACATACAGAGATCAGCAAAGCTACTCAACATGTACATTTCCGAGCAAGTAGATAATAGGGGCATAGAAACTGCAAGTACAGAAAGGAAAAGACAAACCTTTCAAAGCAATAACACAATCGAATGTGCTAAATGTGAAGTAGTGACCCTGCTCATAGGGGACTTTGAATCATTTAGGTGGAGTTTGTGAAACATTTTAACTGGTTCAGATGCCAGTGTAATAGAGTAAGAATTTATTATAGTATTGAAGTTTCCATATTCATAGAACAAGAAGTCATAGTTCAGGTACCAAAGTAATAGAGTAGAAATCTATTACAACATTGAAGTTTCCATACTCATTAATAAATACGAGGCTACGTTACCCTCATAAATGCTCGATGTGTCCTACAGTTGACTCTTCCACTCCACACTTCTATACTTCCTGTGGTTACATCAGAAGTCCCATTTGAGGAAAAGTAAAACCTTGATGGAGACTCTGTCTTCCTGTTCACATCCAAACTCATGTTATAAAGCAAAACTGCAAAAGATGGAGACGTTGCAGTTAATATATGTAACCTTCTACATGCATTTATTGAGTTGGTAATAGTTACATAAAACATTGTAGAAACCTAACTTCTCTGTTAGTAAGCATTTGAAAAATTAACCTGAAATCTGAGGAGAGCTCAACATATAAATCTGAAAAATTATTTTTATAAATAAGATTTATGAAATCTCTAGGTTTCTGTTATTAATAGCATTGACACCATTAATTACTTGCTTAATCCTCCTCTGCATAAAAGTTTCAAAACATACAATATTAAAATTTGTATTAACAGAAATTTTGAATAAGATTTCAAATTAGCTTGGAGTTCTTGTCTGTACTGAGTATGGAAGTATACAGGTAGAGTTTTGTGTTCAAATGTCACTTGGAATTAACCTATTTTGTGTGGTTATATGACTAACTTCATCTATTATTAGGTTCATTTACATATTTCTGTTTCTGATTGAAAGGATTGTTATTTTTCTTTTAATATTTTTATATATAAAGTGAACACATCATTTATAAATCACATCTATATAAATAGTTTACTTAAATTTTTCTTCTTTTAGTCCTATTTCCCTGATTATTTGTCCTCTCTTTGTATTTTTTTGTTGTAGTTGGACCTCACAATTTGTACAAAAATTTTTTAAAAATTTGTCCCCATTTTGGTTTGGCAGGGTTTACTTCAGATCTGATTTTGCAAATACTCACTTGTTAAACAACATCTTTAAGCAAAAATAAAAATTTAAAACAATGGAAAAGTTTCAAATACCAAGAAAGTAAGAGCCATTTCCAAAACCTAAATGGGTTCTTTGCAAAGCAAGCTAAATCTAATAATCTGCTGGCCCTCACTACACAGGAGCAATAATTCATAAGTGATATTCTTAAAATTTTACATAATTCTTAGAATATGTTTTAGAAGTAACAATATTCTGAAAATATTTTGCCTATTTCAAAGAAACATAACCATTAACATATATTACTCCTACACATTTCAAATAAATCTTCAACCATCCTTTCATTTAGGAAATAGTAAAGTCCAAGTCAATTGGTTTCAAAAGTGTGGTATCTGAGATTTGGTACCAGACAGTGAGAGAGAGGAAGGAAGGAGGGAAGGGAGAGAGGAAAGGATGGAGGGAGAGAGGGAGGGGAGGAGGGAGAAGGAGGGAGAGAAGGAGGTGGGGGAGAGAGAGACTATAACTGCAATAGCCATTTACAAATTCATCATCCTAACTCAGTTCAGAGAAAGAACAAATGAAAAAGAGATGAATAAAAACCTCTTCCTGGTAAGAAGCAAAATGTCCTGGCTTTAGTAAGTATGCTTACCATAAGAATTACTTTTCCTAAGAAGTCATTTTATAACAATTGTAAAGCATGGCTCTGTACCAATGGCATTGATTATTTATGAGTTTTGCATATTTATTTTTAACCATTTTTAAAACTATCAGATACAATGGAACTGGTAGTTTTTTTGTTTTTGTTTTTGTTTTTCTTTCTGGTTTTTCTCTGGTACTTTCAGTTCTCAGGAACTGAACTCACGACCTTGCGCTTGCCAGGCAAGCACTTTTGCCACTGAGCTAAATCCCCAGCCCTGGAACTGGTAGTTTTGAGGAACACTGATTTTACATGAGGAAAACAACCCTCTCCATGTAATGTATATCTTTCAGATAATCCATTGGTCTGTCAGTGTTCATGTGGAATCGTTCTGGGGCCATGGTCCCTACGAGACTGTTCTGCAATCAGTAACCAGAGAAAGGTTTTGCCCAGCTTTTATTACAACAGTTCTGATACAACTTTTCCAGATCACTATTAAGAATTGGTTCTATAAAGTAGAGATACCAGGCTTATTCTGTACATACCACTATGAGCTAATTCAGACTGAGACATCTATTACACAGCCATCATTTGGTTCAATAAATATTTGCCACCCTTCATGATGTTGGATGACTTTTGCCTTCGGGGTCATGAGTACAATCGACATAGGGCTTGTGGGGTTCATGAAATATTAATATCCTAATAATGAAGCCAGGTGTGCTGGTCTCCAACCATGGGCTATTTTCATCAGTAGTTATTCTAATACTACCTTAAATATAAGAGAATTAGGAATAGTAATCTGCTGGCAAAAAAGATGTAATACTTTAAAAAGTCACAAAACTATAACTTGGTATTAACTAGAATTTTGGACAGGCCACATGCATGCTGCTTTCTTCAGATTATTAAGAGCTGCTTGCCCATTTGCAGAGAAATGGGCATGGTTCTTATGAGCTCCTGGAGGCAGTAAATTCATATATTCATATGTATGTATATTATATGTATATGACATATCTTAAGATATTATATGTAATTTTTATAAATATATACAAAATTATATATAAAATATAAATACATATCTCAAAAATTGAAATTGGGGTCTAGATTATAGGTAAGCTTCTTTAATTATTCAAATAGGATAATAGGACAGAATATATTTGAAAAGAAATCTTCTCATGTCCTCCAGCTTACACCAGCCCCAGGCAATAAAGAGCTCAGTAGGGCTGGAGATGTAGCTCAGTGGTAGAGCACTTGCCTGGCACCAATGAGGCCCTGAATTTGAGCCTCCATAGGCAAAACCATGCATAAATACTAAAATTGTTAAAATGAAGAGCTTGGTAAAGCAGAGGGTCTGGGGCATCACTCTAAGGACTTCATAGGTTAAACTCAGTGGGTTGACTTTAACACAGCGAGCGACAGTGTTGTTTAGCTTCCTGCCACAACCTCTAAGCAGCTACAGCCACCTAATGTGCTCTACTCATCGGTTAGAACAACTTGAGAAGCCATCAGGAGAGAAGAAAGGTGCTTATCAAGTGTTACTCTCTTCTGCTTTAAGGAGACTCACATGGTGGCAAACAGGAAGAGCCCTAAGGATGACCAAGAGATGACCGAGTGAATCGCACTCTCTGCCAGGCATTCATTCCACAGGGCACACTTACCAATATAACCAGGGACCTCTTTGCCTTTATATGAGAAACAAAGTGTTAGATCCATGCACACAGAGGGCAATCCATTCTCCACGCAGTCAAATTTCGTTCTATTTACTGACTCAGGGTTGCTTAATGATGCCTCAACAATTACTACTGGTCTTGTCCTAAGAAGGAAATGAAATTAGCCTTAATTATTGCAAAATTATTTTTCCTTAAGAAGATAATTGCATTTGTTTTGTTGGTTTCCATTGACCAAGTAATTTCATTAATTTGCTTTATTAGTAGCATGTGCTTACATACTCAGTTACATTTCTATGCACAGATTAAGAGAAATTTTCATCTGAAAGTCTAAAAACATTGAGTTTATCTGATGATTTGTTTAATTGTATCTATGCAAGATGCTGAAAGCATCCTAAGGCTCAATAATGAAGCTTCAGAAAGATACTCTTCAGAAAAGCATCACGAGGACGCTACCACTGCTGCTTTTAGAAATGGCCCCCCATCATTTATAATTAAGTCTGTTTGTCATTAATCAGTGAAATGTATCAAGCTTACCTTAGCAACACAGCAGAATCAGACCGAAAAGCGCCGACTGCTACATCTGGATGGTAAAAAACGACTCAGATTAATGACAATCATTAGTCAAAGAGAACGACTTTCCAGGCATAAATGCTAAAAGTGCGTATCACCTTTTGACTATATCAAAATGGTATTTACTGAAAATTAATTTAAAAAGACAGGTTAGTATCTTAAGATTCATTCCACATTTGTCTGAATCTATTCATTGACAAGAGTGTTCATCCCCTCATAACATTTCATAAATAAACTTCATGACATAAACTTACGATGTGCCAAAACAAAATTTGGTTTTAGGCTCTGGACATATTAATGCAAGAATTCCTTTGGAAATAAAATTTATTTTCCCTTTTTTGTTTCAGCATGATATGTCTGATTGATTTTCATGGGTGTTTTCATTTCTTTTCAAGAGCAGGGAAGATAACATTAAGTAACAGTGTCAAGCTGAAGAATTACTTGATTGTCCCTGGCCTGTCATTAAATTTAAGAATGCTTAAAAACTGCAAGGAAGAAAACCTCATCAGTAAGTTGAAGTCTTCCATACCAGCTTTATGTGTCCACAATAAAGCAGCATTTACAATAGGGTTTATTCCAATTTATAAAATGTGGTAAATTTTATACTCACCTATATAGCCATTATTATCTGCATCAATTTGTCCTGAGATAGACTGTCCGAACATACTTAATGATTCACTAATTTGAAGTCCTCTAATTCTCTGAAAAAAAAGGTAAATTAAGTGGGAAGCAGTTTTTGAACATCTAATATCGCAGAGAAGCCATGATTTTTGTACACAATGATCCTTCCCAGTATGCCCTGGCATATTTGCTGAAAACATGCACTTTCAGATTGAAATGGGCAGTTACATTTATTTTGTGACTTAAAATATTTTTCTTTGTGAACAAAGAGAAAATTATATAGTACAGATTTTCTAAAGTAGTTCTCTCTTTCAGAGTCTATATTTAGTTCCTTAACCAACATAAATAAGCAATATTACTTGGAAAATAAAATGCCTATCATCACTCATTGGAACCTACTACTCAGATTCCTGAAAGCCTATCTTTTGAGCCTGACTGCTTCCCAGAATTTAAGAACAGCCCGGGTCAGCTATCTGTCTCCTGCTCTATGCCTAATTTCATGCCCAAATGCTGATTTATACTGTCCATTTATGTTATCTGTACTAAAAACAAATCAGTATTTTTTAAGCAGACAAGTATATACCTTTCATATTAAAAATACAGAACTTTTCCATTTTTGCCTAATCAAAAATAACAGTGCTAACTAACATTTCTATAAAAAATATCTTTAGAAAAAGTCTCTGCGTGTGAAGGCAGCCTTTTTTGTGCTTTGAAATGCTTTGATTGTTCAAGATATAAAAATGAAGGCAGAGTTTAATTAGGAATCTTTATTAAAATGCTATCATCTTAGTTTTCCACACTGAAAGAATCATAGTATCATGTGCATGTTTTATCTCCCTGTGCAATCTTTACAAAATACAAGGCTGTAGCCACCAGGCAAGACACAGATAATCCAACCCACAAAGGCCTATTTATGAATAGTATGGATATTGGCTCAAGAGCTCAAATTTGATGAAATATGAAGAAAAATCTGTAATAGGCTATAACTGAGACAAAGTGGATATAAAACTCTTATGAAAAATGTTTTAAAGTTATAAATCCCTTAAAATAAGACTATTAGTATTGTAAAAACATGTTGAAATAAAATGTTATGTTTCAAAGAGTGATAAGAAATAAGAAAAATAAGTCCACATAAACACTGGAAACATGAAAGATGCTTAATCACCAGTGTTTCTTTTGAACAGTTCATACTGTGATATCTTACCTGGGAGAAAGTTGATGAGATGCCATCTACTCGACCATTATAAATGTAAATGGCACCTCGCAGGTCGTCTTCTTGTGGAGCTCCAATAGCAACATCTATTTGAGGATTCAAAGAATGAAAAAATAAATTTTTGGTATAAGGAATAAAGTTTGAAATCTAACTTTAATGATCCTTAATTATATAAGTTCCCTTACGAAGATAAACACTCTTCTGAGAAAGAAAACCTACTAACACCTTCAAGGTACAAGATTGCAGCATAGTTTGCACACAGAAGAAGGGAGGGTAAAGGATCACCAGCCAGACTGCTGAAGTCTACCCCCAGCTCTGCACTGTGCCCAGCTTTGTATGAAGGACCCATTCTTAGCCTCACCTATACAATAGGATCATAATAAAGCATTTGCTCAGGATAAAAGAGCATAATTCACCTGAAGGGTTTGGAATAGGACCAGGCTTATAGTAAATTATTATCTATGAATGTTATAACTAGTAGAATATTGAATTTGAGCTTGCAGAATGATGTTTAAATTACTTCATGCTCCAGTGAAAGTGATTAAGGTATATATGAAACCTGTCTGTATACACAGAGGCCTTTAGAAAATGGACTTATGCTGCAAAATAATGATGCAGCACCTTATGAGTTTATTGAAATTCCCATCAGATTATGACACCAAGAGAAAAAAGTAGATCAATTCATATAAGAAAACTCAAGAGTAAGCAAAAATCATGACTGACATGGTTAAGTACTATAAATATACAGAATTAAGGAGAAAACTATTCTACCCTACATTTTAAAGATAACACTCAGCTACAATTTTTAAAAAAAGAACCAAATTTTCCACACAGAAGACATTTGGGCATATTCAATCTTTGGTTAATATAGATTCACATTCTTTTATTTCCTAGAATTACACTTACATAATATACTAGCTGTCACAGAAATAAGAACAACATGTTTGGTTTATATGAATAAATTAAGATATTTTTCCATTTCCCTGTAACTCAATTTCTCATTTTGGGATACAATATACACAAGAGTGAGGTGTTTGAAAACCATTTTTATTTTTCATGTAAATAAATAAACATTTAATTTATTGAAATTAATGAAATAAACATTTCATTTCTTTCTGTTGGTTTAAATCATAATAATTACTAACATAAGCATAATCATAATAATTACTAGCATATAACCACCTATTTAATGTAAACAATGCTTCCTGGGCTAGGAGCTTTACACATATTTACATATTCTCAGAACTGCTTCAAATACAGTCAGAGCTTGGAAGTCATTTGAAATGCATTTGAACTTGGTGCGTAACACACTTTGATGAGAAAATCTTGTCCCAGGACTTGCCACTTGGAACTGAAAGTTCACAAGCTAGAAGTTGTCAGTGTTACTGCTTCATGACTTGTTACATTTCCCAGCCCAAATAATGTGCTTAATTATTCCTCATTCTGGATACTTGTCATGCGTCCTGGAACCAATTCACAATCCATACCAAGGTATCGCTAATAAGTATTTTGATCCTCACTTTAAAGATGAGGAAACTGAGGCAGCAAGCGTAACTGGCTCGAAGTCAAGGCCAGGATGTGGAGCAGTAGGGATGGAAACCCTGTGGTCAGGCTCTAGAGCCTGTATCTCCACAATACAGAGTCATCCAGAAGACGGGTCTGGCCCAATAATTCCCATCTTACCACTTGATCCTAGTATGTGTCAAAGCAGCACCCACCGTATGATGTGATAATATGTCAATATTCATTTCAAGAGCATGTAAAGGAATATGGTACTTTACAATTACAGAACCTTACTACAGCATGGTTCTGCTTTAAAAATATTTACACATGTAGTTTATAAGTCAGATAGTGAGTCTGGAGGTGATAAAAGCGAAGCTAAATGAACATACAAGGGGTGATGATAACCCAGTGAACATCTAAACTTAAAATTTACGACAAGAAAACACACATATCCATTAATCCTCCTCAGCATACTCTCTCTTTGAATGCACTGAGCCTATCATTCTTGCCACTTTCTGAAGCACCTGTGCAAGTCCTCCTTTGTGTCTTTACTGGACGTGACAAAAAAATATAATGAATGCTGCTGCCGGTGTGATCCAACAGAAAGGCAAGATTTTAAAAATGTGATGTTGTGTCTCACTCACTTTATTTGCTATTGTGGCACAATGTGACTTCTGATTTTTCCCCAAAGCCAAGGTAAAAGGTAAAGGTTTTGAATCAAATCAATTTGAGGCAGCCATGACAGCACAACTAAAGACACACATGAGAGAGAACTTTCAGAACTGCTTCAGGAAGTGGCCAGAATGAGGGGATAAGTGTTTTCTAAGTGAGGAGGAGTATCTTGAAGGAGATTTGTGACACTATATCTTTTACTGTAATATATTTTTAAAAATTTAAACATTTGTTGTATTTTGCAATCACACCTCATAAATTGTCTTGCAAAGTCCATTCTGTTCATGAAATTGATGATACTGTCTATATATCCGTTGGTCTCATCAGTTATGTTGATGGGTCTATCTACCTAGTTATTTCACAATTCTCTCAAACTTTGATGAGATTTTTACACTGAGCAATTGGTGAATTGATTGGACATCTTGTTAGAAACTGACTTACTTTGTTTTTCTAGGAAATAGTCTGACCTTTTCTTTTGAACAATAAAAATATTTATATGATAAATGCCAAGTCAACTTAGGTTTACTATGGAACACACCACAAAGTTTTGCTTAATAAAGGAGAACTCAATGTGATTTCAATCTAATACTGGAAAAGGAAGGCAAAATGAACAGGTGGAGTTTTCACTTCTGGTCTACATGGCCCTAGGATCCCTTCCATGAACACAATGAATCTTCAACCATCTACCCATTCCCCTAAAATGGAGTGAGGGGCTGGGGATTTAGCTCAATGGCACAGTGCCTGCCCAGCAAGCACAAGGTTGTGAGTTCGATTCCCGGTACTGGAAAAAAAAAAAAAAAAGAAAATAGAATGAGATAGAACATGGGGAAAAGAACAGAGAGACACATTAAAAAAGACATGAAGATACCCTGCTGTCTCACCCAGGTGGACGTGCTAGAACGGAATTAAGAGTTTAGTGAAGAACACTTTGACTCTACTTCCAAATCACCCTGGTCTTGCTAATATGTGAAATGTAGAGAATGACTACTCATGGGAAAACTAGAAATTAAAATGAAAAAGTGGACAAACTAGAAAAAATATGTGGCATTATACACACTCACTAAAGTATGGATGAGGCCACTCAATGTAAATATGTTATAAATTATAAAGAGGATTCTAAATGAAAGTATAAATAGTACAAAATGTGCAGTATTAAACATTTGAATAATAACCTTTAAAATACAAAAGTTTCACCTTTAAGATTTCTGCATGCTGAAGCTCTCAGAACAAGAAGCACGGTGTGATACCCCAGTTCCCATACAGAAGCTGACAGACTACACTGTACCCTGAAAGTCACCTCTGAAGTCCTCCTCCTAAGTCTCATGGGTAGGACGCTTTCTCTCTGTCCTTCAACCCCTCACAGATTGCTGCAGACATTCCCAGGACCTGGCATAACTGTAGTAAGGGAACCTGCCTACTGTCCATGACACTTTCACAACTCATTAAGAGAATACAGTTATAAGCCAGGTTTGGTGGAACACACCTGTAACCCCAACGCTCTGGAAAGTTATGGCAGGAAGATCACAAGTTCTAGCCCAGCCTGGATGACTTAGCAACTAAGCAAGATCCACCATTTGCATTCTTTATGGCATATCCTCTGTCCTTCATAAGCTACATCTGATGAAAAATAAATACTAACTATCTCAGTGGCTACTTATAACAGCAATCATAATGAAATTTCATACATGTTTAATTGTAACATGTCACATAGGATCCAAATAACCTAAAAATATACATACATATTTTCTCATTCATTTTTTGAAATGGTAAAAAATCCAGAGATGGTAATACCTGAATACCAAATTACTCTATTTTTCACATTAGAAGGTTCAGTGGGAGCAAGTAGTCAGTAACTGTCTTTTTTGTAGAACACATCTTCTACATTTGAAGTTGATTAAAAAATTTAAAGAGAAGAAGACGTATAGGTGGCAAGAATTTATAGTGTTCCTTCACTTATTTTTAGTATCCAAGCAACTTTTATCCTCATGTAACCATATATTAATTTCTAATGACTCTATCAAGAAGACAGTTCTGAGCCAGGAGAATAAGTTCCAAAAACTTACTGAATGCTGGAAAGTTGCACGCTCTTCTTCAAACTCATTCATTCATTGCACACACAGACTCCGTTACTACTCAGTACTAGGCAAAAGGCACAGCTAAGACTGTATCGTCTATTCAGTTACTGAAGTCTTCCATACCAGTTGGGAAAGAGCCACCGTCTTTGAGTTTCCCAGTTTGCTGCTCGCCAGCACTCAGGACTTTCCCCCAGAGTCCTCCAAATCCACAGGGCAGAGCTGAACAGGAAATGCCTGGCACAACATGGGCTTCCAGGACCCCGTCCAGCTCTGTGGCCAGGCTCTATTGGGTTTGATCAGTGCCTTTGCTGCACTGATATTTAAATACCATGTCCCGGTGAATCTATGTTACATGTTTCTCTCCCAACCTCAACATTTTATCATTTCTGAAATCAGGACCCTTCTTAAAACAGAAAAAAATGCTGGGTGTTCTGACACAGCACAATAGCATTTTTTCTGTCTTTTTGAGACAGGGTCTTGCTATGCAGTTTAGGCTGGCCTTAATCTCACTTTGCAGCCCAGGTTGGTCTCAAACTCGCAACGATTCTCCTGCCTCAGCCTCCCGGAGTACTGAGAATACAGGCGTGCATCACCACACCCAGCCTGTAATAGAATTTTTAAAGGCACCTAACATAATAATTATACTTAGTGGTGCTTTCAAATCACTGAAACAAGGTATACTCAATATCATCTCTTATCAACAACAGTAAAAATCAGTGCTCACAATGAGGAAGTCGGATGAACACTAGAAAGAAAAAACATACATATACCATTCTGGCTGCATTTTCTATAATAGAAAAGCAAACAACACAAAATCCCAATTACATTCTCTTCCATGAACCATTTTAAAAGTGGAAATGAAGTACCAAATTAGATACTTTTAATTACCTTCAAAGCCATCATTGTCAATGTCACCAAGATTAACTATAGATTCCCCAAATCTTGCAGCGTATTTGTCACTTCCAATGAGCGCTGCTTCCATTTCATTCATTACTGCTCCCTAGGTAGACAGGGAGAAAAAAGGTGTCATTAGTACACTCCCCGACAAATTTACACATGATTTACTGCTGTAATTGGATATGGATTTTTTTCTAATGCACCAAACAAGTTGGACAAACTGCAGGCTGAGCTTTAGCACACACGTCTCAATGCAATTCGATAAATATTTATTGAGTAAGTCAACACATATTATAGTATGATTACAGTGCATAGGACATAAAAAATGTCAAAGCCATGATCCCTAGCTTTGAAAATCCAATAAATCATTTTGATAATTCAATTTAACAAATATTTATTGAGCTCTTACTAAAGACAATGCCCTATGTAAAGCGAATAGGTGAAAGGGGACAGTGTGTGCATAAAACACAACCCTTCTACAAGAAGCACACAGATGCGGGGACAATTTAGTGCTGCCACATCAGTGACTCAGAAGTAAAACTGCTTTGCAGTTACAAAAAACAAGGGGAATGTGTGAAATGGAGATAAGGAAAGACCATCAGTAGTACGAAAACAGGAAAAAAATCTAGAAGAGATTTCATAAAAAACAAAGCATGCAAGGTGGCTACTGATAGAAAGGTATACTTCTGATATACAGAAAAGATTCTCAGCACAACACAAATTCCAGAGGAACAGTACATCTAATGGAATGAGACCAAAAGTCACACTGTAATTTAATGGGCTTTCATTTGACCAAGGAGGGTAATTTGTTTGTTTGTGTCCTTGTGTTTTGAGACAAAGTTTCACTATGTAATTCAGGTCAGCATTGAATTGTGCTCTGCAGTCCACACTAGCTTCAAACTCATGACCCTCCTGCTCAGCTTCCTGACTGCTGGGGTTACAGCAATGTGCCACGGGGAAATTTAATGCTGCGAATAGTAAGGAGCTACTGAAGGTTTCCTAATTGAGGAGTGACGTGACAAGATGGCCTTTCAAACTTCATCCCAGCAGCAATGGAGCTGGATTGGTCAGCTAGATTCTCCCTATTTGGAAGACAAGTCACTCTGTTTAATAACGTTGCAGTAACAGCTATAGTCTTCTTTACAAAATCTGATCATCTCAATCCCCCCCACCCAAAAATCTATGCTACTCATCAGAAATCCCGTCTTTAAAAACTTGTTTGTCATTCCCTAAACACATGCGTTCTTCCCTGGGTGAAATGCCCATCACCTTTTCCTTTTTAACTGAGAAATTCCTATTTTTGTCTTGCTCAGATACTACTTCTTCTGGGAAACCTTCTCAACCTAAAACAAATCACTTCTTCCACTTTTCACGTACTCATGGGGCATTATTTGCCATGTGGCCATCATTCGCCATGTTGTATTCCATTGTTTGCTCCCAGGTCTGGTGTTTACACCAGACCTTGAGGTGCTGGAGGTCGAGACAAAACTATTCCCACCACTTTCATAGTCCTTGTTGCACTCTACATACTGTCATTCACTTTATTCTAAGCAAGAATGAAGATGATGGAATCATCTCTATAGATATAATCGCTGACGTCCAAGCAGCAGGGGACTGAATCAAAGGAGTGGGAGGAAGAACAGCCCCCTCCTGGGGAAATGCCAAAAGCGAAGGGAGAAGGGCCCAGGGAGGGCAGACAGGTGCAGACACATAAGATACAGTTCTGGGAGGACAGTCTGAGAGAAGTGGTGCTCACTCTTCAAGTATCCTCCATTCCCAGAGAGCAGTGATCAAGCATTCTCTGGGGTCGCCTGAGAGGTATTTTAGTAGAATTAGGGGGAAAGCAGAGTCACTCAAGTGTCATTCTTTTTTTTTTTCAAGTGTCATTCTTTCTTAAGTTCATTCAAACATAATTTTGGAGCACCTACTTGTCCATGACGCTTCCCAGCCCTAAGGAAACAGCAATGAACAAGACAGATGACTCCTCTCCACATGGTGTCTACACTCCAGTAAGACAGACAATAGCGGACCAGATAGATAAATATCATGCCGCTTAGTGGCAAGTGCCTTTTCAGAGAGTTAGCAAACAGAGGGGTGATATGGGGACAAAGATGACTAATCTGAGGACCTGAACGCTGAATCAATGACTAAATTGACCATGGTGTTCAACAGTGGTACCTCTTGGTAACTGTGATGGAAGAACTCAAGCATGGATTGGTGGGCAATGTTCCTCCTTTGCTCTCTGCACCAAGGAGTTCTGCCTTTATTTTTCACACTGGGAAGGTTTAAGATCTCAGTGGAAAAAAGTTGCTGTGCTGCTTTGTTTTAGATGTGTATGCTGCTTTTTAAACAATGCTCGAAAAAGTTTATTTGCAAACAGAAAGAGAAATCTGCAACATGAGGATGTGGCATGTCTAAGAAAACTATCAACAGGGAAATGTGAGATATCTATGCAAGAAAAATGATTGTTGAGTACCACCATTAATGAGACTTGAAGGATCGCCGTGTGGATGCTATACCTTTACTCTTAAAATTAGGTTTAACTGCAGCCTAGGAAATCCCGATGCTTCCGTGAATTCCTTGCTCCGTATTTAGAACTTTAAGAATTCCCAACCTTCTAAGACTAGAGTGTTCTCTCTTAAATTGTACACAGTTTAGTCTGATGCTTAAACTAAGAACTTATTAAGTGTTCGGAAACCATTGGTTAAATCAGATTATAATTACCTTCTGAAACAGAATTCACTTTGTTGAATCCTGACTAAGAGACCTTGTGCCAAAGCAATGAACCAATTTTCTCACAAGCCTGCTTTTGTTTTTAAATCAAGGACACAGGGTGAAAGGGCATCTCATTAAGACCCTGGGATTTCTTTGTTTTGCTTTAATGTCAAGATGGGAAGCTGTCAAGATAATGCCAGTAGAAATCTTTAAATTAAATTAAGATCTCAGTTTCTACTTTAAAACACGGCTCATGATTTAAAACTGACCCATCGTCAGTAATTACCTATTTAAATAACTAGGATATTCATTTTGAAATAAATTGTCAAATTCATGTTTTAAAATGTATCAAGCATACATTATTCATTAACATTGTATCTAAACATTTCCAGTTGTTTTCAAATCAAGATATTTAACTCTTGATCTTCTCTATAATTTATTATATTACGTAAGGACCTCAACTTTAGAACTGTTTTTTAAAAAGGCCCGTTTTGAAGAATAAACATCTTTCTTTCACATTAGAATTGCGTCAAAAGAAAACTGAAGAAATTTTAATTGCTTGAGTGAATGTATACAAGCTGTGAATACAGAATAGCAGTATTTCTGGCATATCCAAATGAAATAGCTGTTCATTCATCAAGACGTTCCATTTTCTTTCTAAAGTGCATCAATAGAATATTAAAATTTTTACTTTTGTTAGTAAAATAAGCCTAAGAATCTGTAATTTCCAAGCTCTGAACTGAGAACAGTTTCCATGCCCATCACAGTTTCTGTGAATGGCTCTCGGTTTGGGGCAGTCAGTCACACTCACCGAGCCAGAGTTGATGAACACGAACACTCGGCCCTCCTCCCTGATGGTGCTGTGCATGGGTGCTCCCACCAGCAGGTCTGAGAAGCCATCTGCGTTGAGGTCCACAGCACAGACAGAAGCTCCAAAATAGGAGCCCAGCTGTCCCAAAGCAAATCATATCTGGTTATTATGAAGCAGGGTTCTTCACAAAAGCCCTCTGCTACACCACAGGTAGAGGCTTATTACCTTTTTACCTTTCATTTCATGTAAGATATTTAGTTCTTTTGCATCAATGCTGAATATATAGGCCTGTAATTGGGAAAATATTAGAAGAGTTTATATTGCCATCAAAGTCTCTTATTGACAATATACTTATTTCTGTTTGATCAAAATGTTCACTTTCACCTCCAGTAACTGCTCAAATATAAAAATATTGAAATTTACTTAAAATGTTAAGTATTACAAAAATATTTTGAGAGTAGTGCAAAACGCTGTAGGGATCCATTTTCACATTAATATGCCTCATTTACAGAGCAATCCTCTCAGGAATTTTTTTATGGATCCCACAGATGGCACAGAAAGTGTTGTTTGACTCACTTTTCAAAAGTTAAGGCACACAGAGATTGGCCAATGTACACATAGCAATTTAGCAAAAACTAGAACCAGAAATAACATTTTCTCCTCATCTTACAGTAAAGCATGCAGCTACTCCAAATTCCTTTCAATAAATGTTACACAGTAAATCTATCCCCTGGACAGCTTTCATTTCATTTTACAATTTACTTCTAGGAAAGAAAATCCTCACTTGACTTATATAATTCTTCTTAAAGTTTTTCTGCTAAATTTCCTTGAAAACCACAAATCTTTCACATATTCCACTAATGCAATACAGTTTATTATTTCTAATCTTTCATTCCTTAGAACTTCTGCAGTTCTTCTTTTGATATTTATTACCTCCTGTGATTGACTGGAACCTTTTGGAAAACAATAAAGATTAAAATGTAATTCTTACTTTACCAATCTGTTCGTGCTGAGGGGCTCCTCCAACTACTTCCGTACTGTGCTGACTTCGAAAATGCCCTGCTCCTACTGAGTACCCTTTAAGAAACGGGAGAAAAGTATCATCATTTAACATGGATAAAATAGATCCAAAATCTACCCGTGGAACTGAATGAGACTGAATTAAAAATGTCTACATTAGGGGCTGGGGATTTAGCTCAGCGGCAAAAGCGCTTGCCTGGCAAGCGCAAGGTCGTGAGTTCGGTTCCCGGTACCGGAGAAAAACAACAACAACAACAAAAAAAATGTCTACATTAAGCAGAATGTTACGCAGGTTTAGCATAATGCTGAAAATTCTCATTATGTTTTAAGCAGTTGTGATAGGTATGTTAATGAAAGCATGTGGTTAGCATTTCCAACTCCCGGAAGGTGAAAATATTATCTTTACACTTGGTTTGTATAGTATGAGTAATTAGTTTCTAGAATTAAAACCAAAATATTTGAATATATAAAGCATTTTAAGCTTTCAATAAAAATATCTTCCCAATTTTCAACTCTTGTGTCATGAAATCTTCCTATTGTCACGATGTAATGACACAAAAGGTGAACTATTTTAATTTCACATGCTGAAAGGCATACTATCGTTATATTTTTTGTAATACCTGAAGACTTGCTCATTCATAAATAAGAAAATGTTGACTTGTCGGTGAAGTTCTGCTTGAATGGGAAAAATACTGCCTTTTTAGTATAATTACCTCCATATAAGATGCACACATTTGAAATACATACAGCTTAAATAAATGTATCCTTTTTAAGGAAATCTAGGAAAACCATTTATTTAACGGTAATGGGAATTAATGCCAAAAATTTTTGTATTTCTGTAGATTTATCAAGTATGAAATAATCATGAGGAGGAAGAGAATAATGGTGATGAAAAGAGTGAGCTCCAGGAAATAGCCCAAGAATTTAAAAGGCAAAGGCCAATGAGCAGTTTTTAGACTATACTTCATAATGTTACCCTTTACCTGAATGCTGTTGACAGTCCCACCGGCTTTCGTATGATCTTTTAGGAAACTATACTTACTCACACATACATGGTTAAATGAGTTAACACATGTAAAGTTCTTAGAAACAGTCCCTGGAATGTAGTAAGCACACAGTGGTGGCTAGAAATAATTAGTAATAAATTGACCCTATAAAGATACGTACAAGTTTGTGTTCCCCCAAATAAAATACAAAAAGGAAACTACCCCAGGAGTTCTAGTTAATTATATAATGATTGTAGTCACATACTTTAATATAAAATAATACAGTCACTAAAATTCCATAGAGTTTATACTTTATCAAGAGAGTTTCTCATCTGTTTCTTTAATTGCCACCTACTGGCATGTAGCTCTTTTGAAGCTACAACATTCTTTTTTCAATAATAGCTACTAACCAAGACATAGGGAATTTGGATTTGTCAATTTGTACAATACCTAAATAACTTCCAAATTTGACTTGATTGTGTTTGTCTAAAAAGGCTTTGTATTTATTTGCAGTTATATTGTAGACAAAAAGAGAGCCGGTCCAATAAGATGATCCTGGAGCTCCCATCACAATTAAATCCTGAAAGGAAAAAGAAAAAAAAATTTAACCTCACTTAAAAGTAAATGTGATATAACTAGGGAAGAGAACACACTTTGTAATATGTTGCCCAAATATGAACATTTCTCTTAATTGAAAAACATATGACCAAAAAAAAGCGGGGGACAGGAAAGTTGTCTGAGTTCTGATCTGAAAACAGAATTTCAGAGGAAAAATTCTAAGACTTTCTCTTCAAATTTACCCAGTGGATTTAAAAAGTCATAGGTGTACAAAACAGTAGAGTAAGCCTGTATGAATAGGGTAACACGGTTACTCCTAAAGAAAATCCTATGTGATTGATTAGTGTTCTTTATGAAGACAATCACGAGTCACCGGAGGGTAAGAGCGGACTTATTTCAGTTTGCAATGACCATGAATAGTTTTCCTACAAATGTTCAGACTAAAAGTCTTTTCCAGTGGAATTTGGGGCCTTTTATAAATAAGAATTTACAAAGAAGAAAGAGAGGGTTGGAATGTGCAGGCCTTTGTCTTGCACAGCAGAAAAACTTGTAGCAATCAAATTTCTTTATCATATTTCTGTACTGCCTAAATCTTGAACATTTAAAGGTAAATTTAAATATAAACTAAAGAAAGCATTATTGCAAGCATTTTAAAAATATTACATTTTACAGAATAAAACTTGATAAAGCCACCTCCATGGAGTTAGAAACCATTCATGAATTCATGTTGGATTTTTAAGAGAAATCATAGGATTCAGGGGTTAAAATAATTATGACCTTTTACAGTATACTGTTAGAGTTCTAGAAAAGAATTAGAGTTTGGGGATCTATCTGGTTTAAGAAGATATTAATATATTCTTAAATATCCCAAGTGGTGTAATTTAATGAAAAATGTGGATTCGTAGGTATTTCCTTCAGTCCTTAACTGATAATAGAAATAACATACTTGAATAAGTTATTTTTAATTATCTAAAAATAACAAAAAATTAAAAATATCTACTTTTGATTTCCATTGAACTATTGATAAAACTGGTAATTTTTAGTACAAGTTTTCACTGATTATGAGTGGTACAGCCAGAAAATATTAATTTTTGCAAATTATATGAAGACTATTGAGCAGTAAAAATAGAATAATAATAATGGCAAATTTAAGAGATATTATTCAGATTGCACACAGTTTTTACTTCAGTGAGGCACTGGTTTCCTAAATCTTCAGAAGAGTTAAGGATGTAAATGTAAACATTCATAACAGCTATATTTTGAACTATTACCTCTGTGAAGAAACTAGATATTCCAGCTTGACATGATGCAAAGTTTTCTCCAAATTTTTTCACATAATCTAAAATGGAATATAAAAATGATTCAGGATTCCACAGAATGACACAATCGCTCCACTCTTGTTTAGAAATCCTTACAAATATGCCTTTTAAGGTCTACATTTTGCACTATCCCATTTCAACAAGTAGTAATTTATGTAATCTGAGATTACACAACTCTCTTACTAATCTTCAAAATATCACCAGGAAATGGCAATAAAAACAAATCTCTGACTCTTCATGAGAATATGTAGCTCACACTCAAAATATCTGTCAAATGAGCAAGATGGAGGTAGGATTTGCAGCTGAGCCCACCTTTTATTTTTTATTCTATAAATTTTAGGTGTACAACAGTATGTTCTGCTGCACAAATACCTGGTGAAAATATTCAAGCAAATCAACATATCTCCTCATGGTGACTTTTGTGTGTGGCAAAAGCATGCCAAATCTGTTCTATGGCAAATTTGCAAGACACATTGTATATTAAAAATGGCCCATGCTGTGCATTAGATCTCTAGACCTATTCATCCTATATAACTGCAACTTTATGCCCTTGGACCAATAGTCGCCTCATTCCCACCTCCCTTCCTCATCACACAGTCACCTTCCTACTGCGTCTATGCATTTAACAATTTTTGATTCCACAGACTACGTGTTCTTTGTCTTTCCCTGGTTGGCTCATTTCACTGAACATAATGCCCTCCAGGTTCACCCCTGTTGTCACAAATGTCAGGTTTTCTTCTTTAAGGCTGAGTATTAACTAGTCTGTGTGCTTGTATGTGTGTACATGTGCGTTCACATACATATGTCAACTCCTTTTCATTTGCCAATGATGTGGCCATAAATATAAGACTGCAGCTATCTCTATATGGTACTGACTGTTTTTCTGTCGGCTCATTTAGTAGCTCCACTTGTATCTTTTTTTTCAGTTTACATTCCCACCAACAGTATAAAACTGTTTAAAGGTCTCCACATTCTTTTCAGAGCTTGTTACACTTATCTTTTCAATAAACAACCACTTTAATGTGTGAGGTGACTCCATTGTGGTAGGATTTACATTCCCTGATAATGAGTGACATTGGGCACCTTCTCATGTATCTATTGACAATTTTAATGCTTTCTTTGAAAAGAAAGCTATTCTGCTCTTTTTCTGCCATCAACTTGAGTTCCTTATATATTTTAGATATTAACCTCTTATCAGTTACATATTTTCCCCATTCTGTGGGTTTTCTCTTCACTTCGTTGACTGTTTTCCTTTGCAGTATAGAAGCTTTTTACTTTGATGTGGTTCCATTTGTTTATTTTTGATTTTCTTGATTGAGCTTTGGGTATGATAAACAGAAAATCATTTTCCACACCAATATCAAGAAATTTTTCCTCTATGGTTACCTCTGGAGTTTGATGACTTCAGGTCTTACATACTTTAATAATTCCATTTAGAGTAGATATTTGCATATAATGTAACAAGAGTTTTTTAAAAAGAGCTCAACTTCATTATTTTGCATGTGGTATCCAGTTTTTCCAACATCATTTATCAAAGAAATGATGCTTTCCAAGGTTTTCCCCAGGTGAAAATAACAATCACGATCCAAGACACGGGGTCTCTTATTACAAAGCCCTTATGAATGAAGGCTTTGGGGCTCACTAAGGGGACACAGCTTTGCTTCTTTTGAAGACCTGACACGAAAACAACAATCATGGTCACAATTTTTGGGCTTTGATAACCAGAAAGTTCAAGTAAATTGTTATATAATTTATAGATTATCTTTCTCTGCCATCATTTTTCATTTTTATGTCTTTCCTGTATTTTACAATTTTGGATATGTTAGCTTTATGTCATCTTGAATTTTTTTTTTATAAAAGGGCTATGTATATCTTAGCAAAAAAAATTCTTCTGTGAAAATGTTTAAATATAAACCAACAACCACTCAGTAAGAGAGGTTAATAAACATACAGAAACTTAGACAGTTTTACTGCAACCGAGAATTTAACATTCACCTTTCATTTTCTTGCATCTAAAGGTAAAATAGGAATATTTATGATGTAAGCTTCCTGTGACCTCAAATTCCAGGGAGCAAAGATATCTGTGTGCGTGTGTGTATGTGTGTCTTTTTGAGACAGGGTCTCGCTATGCAGTTCAGGTTGGTTTCGAGCTCACTTCGTAGCCCAGGCTGGTCTCAAACTTGCAATAAGCCTCCTGCCTGAGCCTCTTGAGTACTGGGATTACAGATGTGTGCCAGCACACCCAGATGAAGATGTCAATATTATTAGAGTCAATAACTGAATTGAAAATATTTGGCCAAATTTTTGCCAGTTAATAAAAATTTTCTTTGGCTGCTAGGGTTTTATTTCTGGTTTTTGGTTATAAAAATTAAAAACTTGTATTCATATTTTCTTAGACTCCAAAAGACACTGAGAGTTTCAGTTTTGTTGCAGATGTTATTTAAATGTTCAGACATTTACCACAACTTTGGTCACGTCTGCATTCAACATCTAGCTCTGTATGTGATTCTGTATGTGATGGACAGCACAGAATTCCCATGGGAAAGGTCTTTCACACTTTAGACCCAATCTCTTGCTATTTCAGGAAATACATATGAATTGGAATGAAAGAGATAAAGTGGAAGAGATGTGCATACACTTATACTTGAAATATTTTGATTACTCCTAGAGGCTGGAGTTAGACTAAGAAACTAACCTTTTCCTTTCTAATCAAACCTTTCGACGTAATTTTATTATCTTAAATGTCCTATATTTATTGGACACTAGACTCACTTACATTGATGATAGTAAATTTACTGCAAAAGTGGGTAATGATCAACTATCTTCCACAGTTATTCAGATGAAACTGTAGAATTTCTAATCCAAAAGCACAAACTACTTGTGAAAACTAATGCTACCTACCACTGGATACAGAAAGTAAAGAAATATTTTGAGTAGTTTTTAAAAAGCTACTTCAAAGGTCTCCTTCTTCATCTCTAATCATCCAAAACTGAACATTTAAAACAACCAGAAAGGCATTTGCTTCCTTCTCTTGACGTAATTGATATCAGAATCAAACCTCACCTTGGTAACAGGGAGCCATTCTTTTACTGAGTTCCGTCCGTAAGTCAGAAGGTATCCCATAGCAAACACCAGCAGGGAGCTTATTTTCGTTCTTTATGTAAAATATATTTTTCCATCTGTGCCCACAAGTCTGAAAAATAAAAAGTAGACCAAATGGTTTGAAAGTTCCGCTTGACACATCTGACTGCAGAATTCTCCAGTGGGCCAATTCCAATACCTACCACGATGGATCCATTTTCTCCTGGCTGTCTGGAAAGTGTGACCCCCAACCATTGATTGTCTCTTTCTTCCAAACATGTCTTTCCACAGGGTTCTCCACCAGGGCTACCTACGGCATTTGAAAGTAAGTTTATCATCAGTTTCCTTGAAGAAAAAGTTATTTTTACAAAAATAAAGAAACTAAACCTGGGCACTCATCTTCAACGCTTTCCTTCAGCTAAGTCTCACTTCTATTCAATGTGCAATCAGACAGTATGTGGGAATTACTCTCTGCTAACATAGCTGGTTTCTCACACAATGTCATTTCTGTTTGTGAAATGACCAAGTTGTAAAGAGCTGGCTCCAGTGGTACGAGGAGAGAGCTATGAGTAGTACAGAAAGCCCTGTGAAAACCAACAGGCGCTGTGCAAATACAACTGCAGTGTCTGAGGCTTGGAAAATGATTTGCACTCTTGTTTTAACCATTTACCTAGCAATGTAAGCAGCAGCATCAGAGCACTTTTCTTAGTGTTTCTTGTATAGTCTTCAGCCATTAAGGTACAGTTTATCGGAGCTGGAAAGCAATGGTTGGGCATGCAGAAAATGCCATGTATAATTAGCATACTAATAATGCAGAGAATTTAAAATGAACTACTTTATGCTTTACATTCAGCGGAATGGGACTCATGTTTTCAATGAAGATTAAAAGATCTTGGAAACCACATTGTTTTAGTAGTAAATAAAATCCTTCTATATGCACTTAGGTAAATATATAAATAACTACAAAGTCAAACATACATAAAATATTCATGCAAAGCACAGTACTTTTAAACTGCACAGTAAAGTGATCCTCACAGTGATAATTTTCATCTGTTGACATGACTTCTTTGCTTTATACCTGAGATCATATTAATATTGTATATTAAAGTGATTTCAAATCAATTATTTGGGAGAAGAATAAGATACAGTATCATAAGATTCTCTTTGCAAAATTCTCTATCACTAGGCACTTTGTCTCCTGTAGTTTTGGTTCCCCGACTCCCACCCCATGCCAGTGTCCTGGAAAGACCCAGAATATCTACACAGCTAGGGTTAATTTTTTTTTTTTTTTTTTTTTTTTTTTTTTTGTTCTTTTTTTTTGGTTTTTCTCCGGTACCAGGAACCGAACTCACGACCTTGCACTTGCCAGGCAGGTGCTTTGCCATTGAGCTAAATCCCCAGCCCCTAGGGTTAATATTTTGGAAGTGAAATCGTTTGCACCAAATCTCCCAGGCAGAAAAGATTTTAAAAAGCATGAGAAGGTTTCTGTGTATGTATATACTTATGTGTCCTCCAAAACATCATGCAGGAAAAACACACCCCTGCACACAGCTGAACTGAAGCAAAGTTTCTGAGATGATTCTTCAGAGTCTGAGCCAGTTGGTCTGGGTGAGGCACAACTGCCCAGGTGACCCTCGTGGGCAGGGATGCTGCTACAACTGAGTGTGGGTGATGCTTTTCTGATGAGACCTTCTGGAGAATCATCAACTCCTACTGATCAGTATTGGCTCACAGGAGGGACAGATTGAAAGGAGGAAGATTACTAGGCCTGGAGAAAGAACACAGAGGTTTCTAGCAGTGTCTGTTCTTGGAACATAGAGGCTTGCTGCAGCCCAGACCTTGACAAAGGTGGCTGAGTGGATACAGATGTTCCTGTGAAAACTAAAGGAAAAAGGAGAGGAAGCAAAAAGAATGGAAAGAGAGGATAGAATTAAAGGTAGATTCAGTCTACACAAAGTTGAAGTCTCTATTATTTACCAGAACTTTATCAAATTATAGTCACTCAGCTAATTTTGCTCTCAGTTGCCTCAGCTAAGGAGTCAGAGGTCACAAATAAATAGCACCTGATCTCTGTTAAAATACGGTACATTTAACAGACACTCAGCAAGACTGCGCCCAGTATTTAGAAAGGCATTTATTATTCTAGAGCTAATTGACCAAAAGTTGAAAAACAATCAACAGATTAGTTTGGAACTAGAAAATACCGTGTAAATTATTTAATGAAAACAGCCAAAAAGTTCTTGCATTCAGGAATAATGTAAGATTATCATCAGTTTCTTCACTGTTCCTTAAATTCAGAAATGAAGACCAGAGATGCTCTTGGGTCAAGCTGTTTCTGTTTGTGCTGGCTTCTTCCCACGACAGCTGTGGCTCCACCAGGTGACATTAGGATGTCACCACTGCTCCGTCCACACTTATTTTCCCACTGCAGTAACATCACTGCCATCCACCCTCTTTCTCCACATGCTGAGTGGCTCCTGGACCCAAGGGTAAGGGCCATGGCCCCTCCAGTGACTTAGGGTGAGTCCTATGATCTTACAAACATCTGGGGACTTTATGTTCAGTGTGGCTTATGACCCTCTCTTCTCTTTCTCCTAATTCTAGGTTAACAATAGTGACTCTTAGGAACAGAGAACAGCCTTCCAGAAACCACAAGAAAGAGATGTTTACTTAAGAACAAATGTAGTATAAACTTCCTTAGGACTCTAGTGGTGGGGTTGACTCACCTGTAAGCAAAAGAGATTTCAAGAGAAAAACACGGGGTGGGTTTGTATGTGGGAAATAAGGGGATGGGGCTAAGGGCTACTGTACATGATCTCATATGTTTGTGACTATGTGCTTCCAAGCAATAGATGCCTTGTAATTTATAGATAACATTCCTGACTCATGGTTATCTTTAAATGGTACCTTTATCTTTATTCTCATGCATTGCATGGGGAACCACTCAGGCTGCTTCAAAGATCAGAGGGTCTAAGGACACCTGAGGATGTGACCTCATTTGTCTAGTGCAGGCACACAGTGGGATACAGTTATGTAACTCTGACTTAGCACAGATCAACACACATGCACTGTTACAGCACTATGTAAGAATGTAAATGTGATAGAACAACCTGTATAAGAATCATACAATAAAGATGCAGGCAGCTCTTGTGCTCTGCTCTGCTCCATGCTGCCTGCTGTTATTGCTGATATCTTGCAAACGTTCATTCTTTAACCCTGGGACCTTACCCTCGAAAATCTCCCTTGGTCCCCTGAGAAAAGATGACACATTGCTAATCTAATCTTAAATAACAAAGATGACACTCAGCATTGGCCCTCAAGGGTCTTTAGACACATAGGATGTGACCACTCAGAGGAAATTGTGGTGGAATTAATTTCCTGTAGGAAGAAGGATTTCATTTTTGCTGGAGTGAGCTACATTTATTTGTTTACAAGTACGCTGGCCTACTTCCAAGGTTAGTGGGTAGTGGCCTTGTTCCTCTTGGCAGGGGCTATTGCTCATTCAGCATCCCATACCCAACACCCAGCCCAGAAGCGTGTGCTAAAAGGGAAGGGTCTGAGGATGCCACACAATCCGCAGCTTTGCCTAGGATTTGACTATGCTTCTTGTGTTTATGTCACGCATCTTAGTTTGAAATGTAAGCGCAAAACAATGAACGCAAAGAAAAATAACAAACATGTTGTGAAACAATTACTCTTCCCCAAACATAAAGCTAATCCAAACCAGCAAGCAAACACATATATTCACATTAATTATGTTCCTCCTCTTTGCTTAACACTTACTACCACAGCAGCAACCTCAACCCCATTGACCGTAATGAAATTTCAGCTCTGGTTACAAGATAGAATCAATTCCAGCAAGACCCTGGAAGTCCCCAGTACTCCACTGGGCATTTCTTAATCTCAGAGACTATGTCCCACTTTTCTATGGCAGAGTCTTGCAGAAGAGGGCAGGAACCTTCCTGAACTTGGGTCAGGGCTGCTTTCAAGGTCTCCTCCCTTAAGGCTGCCTGTTCTGAGGCTCCTCTCCTTCTCCATGGGGCACTCAGCCTTGCCTGGCCCTTAGTGATGGGGTTTTCATCTTAATAAAAATTCTGCTAAGTCACCATGGCAGTGAGCCAATATGGTATGGCCCACTGGAGGCCATGTGGCAGGCTCTGCCTTACTCCTCCCCAGTCATATTACAACTTCCTACTTCCTTTTTTTTTGTCTTTTTTTTTTTTTTTTTTTTTGAGACAGAGTCTCACTATGCAGTTCAGGCTGGCCTTGTGCTCACTTTGTAGCCTAAGCTGGTCTTGAACTTGCAAGGATCCTCCTGCCTCAGCATCCTGAGTGCTGGGATTACTGGTGTGTGCTGCCATGCCTGGCCCCTGCTTCCTTTTTTACAACATCCTGTTTCCCTCTTCCCACCTCCTGTCCAATCACTGCTGGCCACCTTGCACAGATCATTCCCTAAACCCCACCCCCAGCCTGGCCCTATATAGCCTTTGTTCCCCCAGCCAGGCCCTCAGAAGTGCCATGTCCCTCCTTTCTGCTGTGGTCTCCTCTGTGCCCACAATAAAGGCATTTTTTACTTTGCTCTATTTTTATCTGTGCCAACAAACCTATCACTTAGCACCACCTGGGGAAAGTTTTAAACAAATACCAGCACCTGGGCCCCATGCCCAGAAGTTCAGATGTGCAGGATCAGGGTGGACACCTTGACATCAGAGTTTTTAAAAGCTCCCCAGGAAGCTGTAGTTGGGCTTAGAAATGGGCTTCTAAGCCACTGCTGATGGCTGTGACTATTCCTCTATTATTTTTAAAATACACTGTGTTTCTAAAATAATAGTAATACCTTTATGTCCCCCTCAGTTCCAACTAACTATTGAAAGAGAGTATCACCTGTTAAGCAGACTTTTCCTCTTGTAGAAATACAGTATTTCTAATTTGGTCAAAGATGATGATTACTAGAAGTGTCCTGAGAAAGGCTAATTCTCATGCATTTCCCTGACAGAACACCACAAATAAACTCAGATTATCTTTATATTTTATCAAGATGTCATGCTGCAAATGATTTATTGTCTGGTGTTCAGTTCAGCGCATATATTACTAATATAAAAGCTCAGTAAAGCAAGTCAGCTCCATAACTGAAAAAATACTTTACATGGCTCAACATTAAAAAGGCCAGCAGAAATTAACACATGATGGTTTTCCATGCATTGATAAATTAGGGTGACTAACTTCCTAGCATGGAGGAATACATTTTCCCAGTAAACTCTAAACAAAACAGAGTAATCTAAAATTAAGTTCTTTCTTTCTCCTTTTTTT